CCAGTGTTTGCAAGATAAAATAACCGCAATGTCAGAAAACCGGACTGAAGTGGCTTTATATTATGGTTTTGTTTTTGTTCATTTTCGTGATCTTCGTCATCACGAACATCCGATCAGCTTGCTTAATTCTTTTTCAAGTCGCCCTTAAAGCCTCTGATTCCATGTTCTTTTTTTATTCTTTTTCTTTTGTTTCTTTGATGCCCTCTTCGATATTTGAGTAAGCACGTTTTTATAATTGCGTGCATTTTGTTTAACTGTCACGCAGTTAAAAAATGTTTTCAAGAAGCCGCCCAGGAAATTTAAGAATTTGATTGAAAGGCAGATCCGAAATAACTTCAAATGACTGACATACGAACATCGATTCAGCAGTGTAGATTCGCAATGCATCAGAAACGTCTTTGCGACAAATTAAGTATGCAGACAGAAAAAGGGAGAATTTGAAAAGAGGTACCGTAAAGAATTCAACAAGCGACCTCTTTTATTCTGATCGGGATTAAGAGGCGAATAAGAAGAGCTAGGGCACACTTTTGAAGTACAGCAACGACCAGTAACGTTCAGACGAGTGTTCTCTTTGCTCCAGTTACTGCCGAAGCCATTGCAGAAGCACGTAATCCAAACATCAGCGATGTATCTGAGCTCTTTTACTTTCAGCGCTAGTGGCAGTAGTAGCTTTAAGAGTATTAAAGTTGTTTGACAGCGCGCGGGATGACATGGTTTGTGCTCCACTACAAAAGATAAGGAATAGGCTAAATTATCATCGACAAGTAAGTCAGCTACTGTTTGTTTGATAAGCCGTTTTACAAAATGCAGAGTTAGTTTCTGAAATTGTTAAAACGGACAGGAATACGCCCTACTGTTTTCCTCCTAACCCATCAGAAAAAAGTTTTCCCCGGGAGGAATAGTTATAGTTAATAGTAGTTTACAGCATATTATTATATTTCCGAAGGTAGCATATCCATACTCATGATTGCATCTGTTTTCGTATGCAGGTTTAAGCTGGTCCTCTGCTGTTCCAATGCATAAGTGGTTCTTAAAGAGAACGTATTTGTAGCAGCTTTCAAGTATACAAGGCTACAGAAAAAAAAATTACTGATAGAGAAAGGTGAAAAGTGTGACGCTTTCCGAGCCTGAACATTGGAAAGGATCACGGATGTCAGGAAAAGAATGGCAGCCCTGGCAAGATAAAAATGGTCATGAAGAGATGTAGTAAAAAAAACTAAAAGTACGTGGTCTGTAAAAAAGAAGATTTTGCACGCGACGACAACAAGAAGCTGTCTTCGGACAACCAGAAATAAGGTGATTTCCCTACGACGACGTTGGAAATTTCCATGTTTTTTTTCATTTTGACAAAAAAAGTTGGAAATTTCCATGGTCATTTTGCGTTGCGTGAAAAATGCGGTAAAAAATATTCCTTACGACCATTTTGACGGTGGAAATTTCCATTGTTAGTTGGAAGGCCATCCAAACACGATGACGTTGGAAATTTCCATGGCCGTTTTTCAAGTCGCAAAAGTTTAAAAGCTTTAAACATTTTTATCACCAGATTTCTTAAACATTTTTAAGAGTCTAGTAAATTGTTTGAAAAACTTGCAATTTTTACCATTTATTTCTATATCTGGCAATACAATGGAATAACTTCCAAGTTCTTGCCACCTCTAGCAGGAAAGAAAATAAGGTAGCAGTTTTGTAAAAACGTTTCCATCCTTAGGTTCAAAGCAAGAAACCGGGTAATTATTTAATAAAATCCTGCTTTTTGTGACATGAACCATTTAGCAAAAAATGGAAAAAATAACCTTACATGTATTTTGTTCTTTTGTTGACAGTCATACTGCTAACTCGGTAACATTAGATATAAATGACCTTATTTTTACCAGATTTTCATGTTTTTATGGCAATTGTAGCCCCTAATCATAGGAATTTGTGCCATAATTCCCGGTTTTAGAATATCTCACTTGGCTTTAATGTTTAATTTATTTCAGTCTTGTTATGGGGAGGTGGTCCTGGAGTGGACAGCGCGAAAATCGAAAGATGGAGGAACAGGAAACATAAGAAGAGAGTAAAAGAGAGTANTTAGTTGGAAGGCCATCCAAACACGATGACGTTGGAAATTTCCATGGCCGTTTTTCAAGTCGCAAAAGTTTAAAAGCTTTAAACATTTTTATCACCAGATTTCTTAAACATTTTTAAGAGTCTAGTAAATTGTTTGAAAAACTTGCAATTTTTACCATTTATTTCTATATCTGGCAATACAATGGAATAACTTCCAAGTTCTTGCCACCTCTAGCAGGAAAGAAAATAAGGTAGCAGTTTTGTAAAAACGTTTCCATCCTTAGGTTCAAAGCAAGAAACCGGGTAATTATTTAATAAAATCCTGCTTTTTGTGACATGAACCATTTAGCAAAAAATGGAAAAAATAACCTTACATGTATTTTGTTCTTTTGTTGACAGTCATACTGCTAACTCGGTAACATTAGATATAAATGACCTTATTTTTACCAGATTTTCATGTTTTTATGGCAATTGTAGCCCCTAATCATAGGAATTTGTGCCATAATTCCCGGTTTTAGAATATCTCACTTGGCTTTAATGTTTAATTTATTTCAGTCTTGTTATGGGGAGGTGGTCCTGGAGTGGACAGCGCGAAAATCGAAAGATGGAGGAACAGGAAACATAAGAAGAGAGTAAAAGAGAGTATCACGGCTTTATTACCGAATAAAAAATGCAGGCTCTACACAAACTCACATCTCGATCACAAAGGACCAACCCAACGCAAAAGTAAGGAAAACGATACATAAAACCTTTTCTAGAATCCCGAGGCAAAAACTCCTAGAATGGCAATAGACCAGTTCAAGTGTGAGTTGTACGTAAAATGTTGCATTGCCTCTTCATGAGTAAACTAACCTGTTTAACTGATATTTACTATGAAATATCAATTTAGTAAATACACAAAGGTGGTAAAGTCAAGGCATATTACGTGATTTTTAGGATCCTCTTTAATCCTGCGAGGAAAAAATCTTTTCTTTGTCTGTTTGATTGTAGCCTGCGTCGCAGACGCTCTAAACATCCTTGGGCCGACTGCAACGCAGGCTAGTTTGATTGGCACACGAGCTCTTCTAAAAACAGGTGTCATATCACACCCCTACCTCCCCCTCCCGGCAACCTCTCCACAATGCCCACTTGCTTTGGTCCCCAAGGTGGCCGTTGTTAAATGTCGGCTATTTGTTCACCTAAGAGAACAAAGATTCTTGGAAATCATGTGGACTAAATTAAAGACAAAAAGTAGATTATAGCTACTGGAAGCCAAACCCCAGTTGTTCAAACACTTGGTAACGTTATCTTATCCAGTGGATAAATAACGTATTTGGTTTCCCTGATACTTATCGACTGGATACAGTTTTATCAAATGCATATAGAACTATAACGCTATCCAACGCTTGCACAACCAGGCCCTCTGGTTGGATAGCTTCGATCATTCCATTTTTTGTATGATTTCAAGCACAGGCTCCTAGAATTATGATTAGCTCATCCTCCGTACCGCGAACTACTCCTGAATGTGCGACAGCGCTGAGTCAATTTTCAGACTACCAGTTGTCGACTTGGTACATTTGCCTTCAGCGTGTATAATTATTAGAGGTGGCAGAAAATGAATCAAGTCCAAGACAAGTTTTGAAAAAGCAGCAAAGCGGCTCCAAGGGCCAATTCAGTTTAGTAAAAGACCACAGAAAGTGTCCGTATTAAGCGGGGCGAGAAAATAGTGTCCATTGTCCGCATTAACGGGTGTTCGTATTAAACGGGGCAAGAAATAAGTGTCGATTGTCGGCATTAACGGTTGTCCATATTAAGCAGGGCAAGAAATAAGTGTCCATTTTCCGCGTTAAACGGGTGTCCGTATTAAACGGGGCAAAAAATAAGTGTCCCTAATGTCCGCATGAACAGGTGTCCGTATTAATCGGGGCAAGAAATAAGTGTCCATCTTCCGCATTAATGGGTGTCAGCAATAAGCGTGTTGAATTTAGAGAAATGAAAGGGTTTTTCCCAGGAACAAAGAAAACTGTCCGTAATAACGAGGTTTTCGTATTAACCGGGTGTTCCTAAAGCGGGATTCGACTGTATTTTAAGAGTCATGTCCCGGAAAAGAAAACAAAACAAAAAAAAAAGTCGATAAA